AAATTTCGTTTTTGGGGGTTACCGGACACCCGTCGCCTCGAAAAATGTAAAAAACTTGACTATTTCGAAATTCGATAAAAATTGACAGGGCAGCTAGATTTCATGATGCGAATCCAACGGTGAGGTCCGTTTCATCACCCGAGGTCTAGAAAAAATACCAATTTTTTAACCCGCGCTATAATGGCAAATTAACATTTTGCTTTTTTTTCAGAGAAAAAGTTAAAATTTTTTTTCCCAGGTTTCACAAAATTAACCAACAAAATCATCAACGATAAACAATAATTGGTATACCAGTGAGAGTTCTTCTGGAGGTTAGATCACTGTCAATACAATTTGGATGAAATAGAGTGGATGGTCGGAGTAGATAAGTCCAGTGGGTCTCCAAATTATGTCGTGCGTCGCTGAAGAAGGTCTGTCAATTGTTGGAGTCTGCACAGAGAGATGAGAGATTGAGGAGGATGACAATAATTTTTGAAAAACTAAGAGAGGTGAGACGGTTAATGAGGGAAAAGAGAAAGAGTTTAGGTTGTGTGTTAGACAAAATAGGTAGCATGTGGGTGTAGTTAAATTGGGTGAGATTCAAAGGTGGAGCCACCCTTGGACCAGGGTGGGCACGTGCCCCCCTCAATTTTTTTTTTTTTTTTGACATTAGAAATATATTTTTTAAAATAAAATTTAGATATATTTAATTGTGTCCACCCTCAAATTTTTTTACAATAAATATATATTTTTTAAAATAAAATTTAGACATATTTAATTGTGTCCACCTTATTATTGAATTATTGTGATATCGATTAAAATAAACGACTATTTAAATAATAATTAATTTTTAAATAATGTTATTGAAACTAATACATTATAATATTAAATTTAATAGTGAGTTACTACATTTAATAATGTTTACTGTCCATCCAATGGTCACAAATCATTGGGTTCCAATCAATTAAATTTTGAAATTTTTTTTGGTCAAGATATAAAATTAAATTTCAAATTAGATGCAATTACTATTATTCTTAAATTTTAGACACAGACATGTTCAAATAATTTTTAGATATATTGCGTTCATTTTTAAATTATAAGATTATTTTATTATTATTATATAAAAATGAGCATCATAATGTAATAAATTACAGGGTAATAAATGAAAAACTGTTATTACCATTTTGTATATAGAAAAAAAAGTATTTATTAATATAATTAATTAGTAATTCTTTTAAATGATAAATAATAATCAGATTTAATTGTAAAATGATAATAATTAGTCTTATACGAAGTTTTAATTAATTTTATTTTTGTTCAATCCATGCAAATCATTTTTTAACCTTTTATTTTAATGAATTTTTACGTATAATTATAATAAATATGAATTTATGAACTTTCTATGGTCAATTGAAAAAAAAAATACTATTTAGATCTAATTTGATGACATAATTCAATATACCCCTTTAATTAAAAGTAGACTTCATCTAACATTGAAATTTATAACTAAAATAACAGGTATATTGAATTAAGTCATTGGTAACATTGATAAAAAAATAATTAAAATTTATTAATGTGCCCACCTTAAAGTATTTTTCTAGCTCCGCCCCTAGTAGGATTTTATTTTTGTGTGGGATGTGTTGTGAGCTATTGAATTAAGTTTGATGAAATTTAGATCATTTAATTTAAAATGAATTCAACCTGAGTTGTTATTACTTTTTTAAATTTAAGATAGAGATGTATGAGAGATAGGAGTGTAGAGTCTTACGGTAAGAGGTTTCTTCATGGGCGAGAAAAGAAATTCAGGACTAACTGTAGACTGTTAGATCAAATTGTTTGAGATGATATGAATCGTCTTTTATGTTGGGATTACGTTGTCCGTTGGATGTGTTTATGTTTTATCTCAAAACGATCTGGACCTCTTTTTATCTTTTGGATTCAAATTTCGTTCTACTTTATTATATAAAATTTTTTCACAAATAAGTAGTTTATGGTATACTTTTTCACAATTTTTTCTTGAAAAAATTGAAATAACAAAAAATTGTAGGCCCATTGGGCCGGATTATGGGTTGGCCGTATGGGCTAGTAATGCCAATTGCACACCTTGGGCCGTTCGCTGGCGGGCCGCGTCAGGACGACGGCTAATCGCTGGACATCACAAGCAGGAAAGCCGGTAGTGTTTGTGTTTCAAGCAGTAAGTTTGAGGTCGTCACTGCTGAATCTCTGGAGGAGAAGCAGAAGTGAACGATGCCGAAGAGGACGACGCACACGTACTCGAGCGAGGACGCATTACCGGATGGTCCGGACTCTGATCTCTTCGTCTATTATTGCAAGCACTGCGGATCCCATGTCCTCATCACCGGTTCACTTCTCTCTCTCCTCCCTCTCTTTTTACTCTCTTTCTAGGTTCTCCCTTACTATTTGTTGAAATCGAAATCATGTCAATTGAGCATATCTATCGTATTAATAATGGCAAGAAGCTTAAAAAAAGAGTCTCAATTCAACTCCAGCTTTTATACATAGGATCTGTAAGTCAAATGTACTACTAGGTTTGTTCGTATTTTTGTCTAATTTCATCTTTAATTGCAGAAAATTGATTAAGATTGTCAGTTCATTTGTGCTGCCTGTTGGTTGCTTTGTTTCCTACTTGTTCGTATTTTTGTTTAATTTTATCTCTAATTGCAGAAAACTGGTGCAGATTATCATTCAGATGTTCCATGTGTTGGTTGCTTTTCGTTTCCTATTTTTCAAGCCATTACAAGTAATGGAACCATCACTACAACTAGGAGTTAGAAATGAAGTAATTCCATCTTAATGACTTCTTTTGGTTAGATCTATGCATTTGATGAATACTTAATAATCTATGCATTTGATGGATACTTACATAATAGTGAATTGAATTCAAATCCTGTTTAGAAAGAAAATGGGGCCATCGCTTTCCAGAGTATCCCGACCATTATTATGTGATCTTATCGTAATTACATTGTTTTTTGTTCACTAAAGTGTGAATAAAATGTTATTATGTTGATAAATTTTGTTGATGTGTGAAATTCTTTCATGCATATGCTGGGTCCGTCTAATTGCTCGTGTTTTGTGTTTGTTGTGCTGGACACTTCTAACTGCTTGCATTTTGTAATTTTGTGGAATTAAATTTCGCCAACCTTTGCAGATGATTCCTTAAAACTATGTTTAATCATATTCACTCATTCCATATTATTGCATGTTGAATGAGGCTTTAGCCAAGTTGTCTATGTCTTAACCGGATTGTTCATGTCTCACAACAAGTGTAAAGTTGGATCCTGTTTGATTGGTATGTTATGTTGCTTTTCACCGAAATGACATCTCATCTTTTCATTTTTATATATATAAAAGAAGCATTCAATGTTGCCAGGATTTCTCCATACTAAAACAATTTTGTAGATACCCAATTGCAGAAAATGCCAAAAAGAAAAACTGACAGAGCATACGTATTGGACAAAAAGAAGCATCTTGCAAGGCTTAACATAAACGAGGCTGGAAAAGTTCTATTAAAACGGTAATTATTGGTTCCTTCTTAGTATCTGGTGCAACATTCTTCAGTCCATCACATGGATTCTGTTGACATTAAGCATAATGTTCTGAATATTTTTTAGTTTTCCTTTTACCAGCAATGTTGAGTAATGAGAAGAAGAAAATGGAGTGAAAAAGATGTTAGGATGGCTGACTGATATTCAAAGAATTTTTCTGTGGAACTAGTTTCTTGAAACCCATGAATATGTGGAGAATTATGAGTAACAGAAACCTCAGTATTCCAAAAGGCTGGCCTTCCTTTAACTCAATTGTTTTTTTGGAAACATTTTTAGCTCAAGTAATGAGAATTGTTTTAAGATCAATGAAACCAAAAGATTTTTTGGTTTGTTTCTGTTTTTATAGCTATGAAAAATAATTTCTATTTTTTTTTTAGAAGTCTTCCAAACAGTCATTTGACTGTTGAATGAAGTATTTCTTTGTCCAGTTTTACATGTTGTTCCTCCTCTTGTAACCTGATGGTTGCCTGTGTTAGTAATCATTCACAAGGTGAGGTGATTAAGAAAAGTTAGTCTCTGATTGACCATCATACATTCAGCTTCAAAGTAGTAAAAGGTAGTATGAAACTCATCATTAATGTGTGGTTCTATATTAAAATAGCCCAAGGATGGAAAATTTTACAATTGTTAGGTCATACCTGCTATCATTTTTACTAAAGTGGGCAAAAAGCATACTGAGAGAAAAATCTAGGAGATTGTTGAATTTGAAGTTCTCAAAATTTTATTAAAAAATAGGATAGCTATGATAGTATTAGTTAAAAGAATTTACAGTCACTTTTCACGTGAAATCTACCCCTCAAGTTGTTGACCCTTTGCCTGTGTAAGTTGGCTTTTGTGTCACTTAATAATTTCCCAAACAAGTTTTCTTTTTGGTAATAGCTGATCACATGTTAGTATTTATAATCGATTTCCATCACATCTTTCTGTTGTTTTACCATTACTGCTTCACTGAGGTTCTTCGTAATTGTGGATATTCCTTCCTTACCCAGCGGTGAAGGGAAATTAGAGAAGCAATTCCGCATGAACTGTATGGGTTGTGGGCTGTTTGTTTGCTACCGCCCAGAAGAAGATTTTGAATCTGCATCTTTCATTTATGTTGTTGATGGTGCTCTTAGTACAATTGCTGCTGAAACAAATCCCCAGGTAATTAATGTGATGTCTGTAGCCTCTATACATCATTCAATCATTCATTATCCTGCGTTCCTGATTATTGGTTATTGCGCTTGCAACAATTTAAATGGGAGTTTATGCCAATGATAAGTTTTGGTGGAATGAGTATGTGTAACTACATTACTAGTCCAGTAACTCATACCTATTGTTTATTTCACTGCTTCCTGTCACAGGGTTGTTGCATTACTACTCCAGTAACTTTTTTCTCTGTCATGCTACTGAGGGTCTTATATATTTATACCTTCCCTGTAGATGACAAATGTACTTCCCTGATAAACATGTGAGTTTCTGATTTACACTGCAGGATGCTCCTGTGCCTCCCTGCATATCACAGTTAGAAGGTGGGCTTGTCCAAGTTGCAATTGAAGTGGAAGACCGTGCACAACGATCTGCAATCACTAGTAAATCCAATCATCAATGGCTCCTTCATTTAAATCTCTGACATGCATCATTTCTGTAGCATGACTGTGAATGAGTTTGAGAATTCATGTATAATTTTTAGAATGGGGATCAAATCAACACTTGTTGAGTTGGCATGTCAAACTTCTCCTCTTATTCCATGCGAAATTGAAGCTAACCTAGGTTTTGGCAAAAAACATGCATGTGTCGGGATTTTTTGTAATTCTTCTTGTAGAATCTATCCTTTTTACCATATACAAAGTCAATTTTTCGAGTATACTGTTTGAATTTTGTTGTACTAGTCCATATTATATCATGAAACCAGGCCCCTGCTGCAAGCTTGAAGGTATTTTCTACATCCCCTAAGGGGAAAGGTGCCGGTTCAAGCCCATGTGTCTGGTTGATTGAGCATCATTACAGCACAGATAAGCTATACGGGGCTTGTCATATCAGTAATAGAATGGACTTCATATGGTGGGAAGAATGAACCTCAATGTTCAAATGCCAGACTAGGGGATTAGGAGTTCCATAACTACGGAATTTGAGAATTTCAAAGTGATTTAGGGAAATTGCTGGGAGCATTCTAAGGATCACATTTGAAGTTCGTAAAATTATGAAGTCGTGAAGCATTTACAGTCTTGAAGAATAACGGGCTACAATATTGTTATTACCTGTACAAATTGATTGTTGGATAACATTGCGATGCAGCGACTGCTAGTTAATAAGTTTTTGATACTGCTAATTCTTGTGGTCATTTTTTGACTAACCTTGATAATTATAAACCACCATTCATGGTAATTGGTTTTGAACATTGAGTGACCCCAGTGGTGCAATTTTTGAAATAGAATCTAAACATAGAGTTCCTACAATTATAGTTTTAAGTTCGGTGACTTTGACTGCTGCAGCCTTTGGTATATGTTCTATGATGGGAAGTCATTGTTTCATTCAAGGAGCTGACAAAAATGTACCTTTCCAATGCGCATCATTTTTCTTTTTAATGCTTGCTTAAAATAAAGAGGAGAAACAGTGATTCCTTGATTGGTCGCGCTTAGAGATTTGATTCCAGTTTATATGATAGGTTTGATTGAAGTTTTTTGTTGGGTAAAATGTATCTAATGCATTATTATTGTCCAAAAACCTCATTTTTGTATTTGATGGACTCCAGGAGTAAATGCTGATGATGTTCGAGTGACTGTAGCTGCACCTGCAGCCCGTGGGGAAGCCAACAATGAACTTCTGGAATTCATGGGAAAAGTGTGCTTCATAATTTTCTCTCTTGTGGCTATCAGCTCCAGCTCAATTTTATTTATCTCATTTAAGCTGTCAAGCTGAGCCCATAGAATTTGCTTTTGAATTAGGTGTTGGGTCTGAAACTCAGCCAGATGACTCTTCAAAGAGGGTGGAATAACAAATCAAAGCTCCTTGTGGTGAGTGAATATTTGCCTTTTATTATCTAAAATTAGGTTTCCAACTGTTTGTATGAATTCTTTGTTGTACATGTTTTTTTCGGTTAGTCGTTGATGGAGGTGAAATTAGCAATTCCGCTAAACTACTGAGCTCAACTGTGAATACCTAAATGAAATATTTCTAGAGAATTGTGGTACATTATGACAAGTCCTTATGCATGAGAGTTCATGCTGTTACCTTCAATTCAATGATGTTATGGTTTTGTGCCAATGGACTTTTCAATGGCATAAGAAAAGCAAAAACCAATACCCCCCATGCAAACAAGATTCCTAGGCTATAATCTGGCCAAGAAATATCTAAACATTTAACCCCAGTAAAGGAAATAACTGAATTATGTTTACACAATATCAACAAACTATGATCTTAAACGCCAAACACCATAAGAAAACCCTTAATGAAATCGATCTATCTATATCCATCAATTTGGTTGTAGTAGGAAACTTCCATGATAAGATAGTTCACAATTATGTTAATACATAGGCTATTGGGAACAGGGATGCAGAACGAGCTGTTACACCGCATGAATAGGATGCTATTGTGATAGCAATGGTTTGGTCAAAGTAATATTATACAAATCAGTGATAAAATGCGAGTAAGATAGAAGAGGACCACCATTAAGCAAGAGAAAGCCTGTTTATTTTATCTCAATTTTTCGGTGGTGGCCGTGATATCTGCACTCAAATTTTAATTTCTTGCTTTGTACCATGAACATAACAGGCCAATCTACAGATGTTAATCATGCATTTAATTTCTTTATGATGCTATGGGTTATCTTACTGAACATTTAGCGTTTGAACCAGGTGGAGGATTTGACTGCTAGGCAGGTATATGAGAAGCTTCTAGAAGCTGTACAACCTTGAGACTTCTCGATGTCCTGAAGTATTTTATGTTAATTTTCTCGTAAGTTTCCCATATTAAGCCACAAACTAAACGATTGATTTCGTATTGGTTCAAGTCTGATTTTGAATCCGTGTGGAAGTTGTAAGGATGCCAGTTTTGCAATTGTGTGCCTGCACGCGTTGTGATTTTTAATAATGAATTTGGGTTTGAAGATGATTGTGCATGAAATGGTATCTGCCTAATTGCCTATAGGGCATTATATTAAAGTTATAGTGTTGAAAGGTCAAGTTACAACATATTCTATACCTACTTGATCATAAAATTTCTTGATCGCTTATAAAAATTATAATTTTTAAAGGTTAAATTACAATTAATTAAAATTAATGTTGTGCTAAACTTGTACGGGGAAATTTTTTTTGGTACTTTTAGTTTATTTCCAAAGTTGGACTCAGAATTGGTATGCATGACACGCTAGCAATGCAGCAACTGTAAATAGCCAGAAGCAATATGAACGACTTCAATATACTTAAAGCTACTCTGCTAGTTTTTACTTTTTACCAGTATGCAAATGTCATAGGTTATGAACATACTAGCAGAGGAGATGTCAATCGAGAGTCATGTTGTGTTGAATTTGTTGTGTTCATATCAATAGTGAACTATAAAACAAAAAAAAAAAAAAAAAAAACCTCTAAAACAGTGAAATGATCATGCTTAAACATAAGTTCGGAGCTCAAAAAAGAGAATTTAGTATTCGAATCTCATGAAATAAACTTTCACATAACAATCCTTTTCGATGGCATCACAAAAATGTTCTGATGAAGCTGAAAACATAAAAGACGTAATTCTTCGCTTTCGGAAATCAAGCAACCACTTTGATTCAAGAAGAAGCTCCACTGCGTAGAGCTTGATTCTTATTGGCCTTCCTAGGAGCCAACTGAGTATCAGGCTGCAAAATGATCCATCATGAGCAACAACACAAAGTCATTTATGGAAAAGCAACTAATGTTCATACAATAGAAGCAGGTTAACTGAATCAATCAAATGCAAGACCAAAACACTCATGAGTATAAAATCCCTTTATCTAGCCCTTTAACCTAAAAAATTATATTAAAATGGTCTAAAAAGCAAAAAAAATATGTAATTATAATTGAAAGTTAAAGTTCTAGAACAATCACCAACATAAAAGTCTTTGGGCCAAATTATATGATTAATCACATTCATATCAAAATATTTTAAGAAAAAAAAAGAGTTAAATGAAAAGTTAGTTATAAGTCACAACTTTCTTACATTTCCTTGTGATTTTATAAGAAAAAAAAGTTAGTTATTTATGAAAAAATTCAAACATGAAAGAAAAATATTTTTTCTAACATTTTCTTTTTCATGCTAACCAAACACATGAAAATTTTAAAAAATTCTTACATTTTTTACCATTCTCCCGCTAAACAAACGAACCCAAAAAGAAAAAGAAAAAGAACAATCAAACATAGTATACCTCTTTCGGGACAGCTTCTTCCTTTTCGGATAAAATCAATTCGATGTGGCAGGGAGATGACATGTAAGCTGCAACGGATATAAAGGTCGTATTAATCATACATGAAATATGAGGGTGAGGAAAATACTGAACTCAACAAGGGCAGGAAACCACTCACGGTTGATTCTTCCATGAGCACGGTATGTGCGACGCCTCTGCTTTTGTGCTTGGTTAACCTGGATGTGAGATATGTAAAGCGAATCCACATCCAAGCCCTTAACCTATAGAATAGGTCAAAACCAAAAACGCCTCTTGTTATGAGGCCATAGAGAGATAAATGAAACTGAAAACAATAATACAACCAATAAGAACACATACTTCTGCATTACTCTCGGCGTTCTTCAGTAAATCCAGAATAAATCTTGCCGATTTAACAGGCCAACGTCCTTGTCCATTTGAATGGCGATTCTTTGCCTGAGCAGTGCGCCCAACTCCACGACAGAAGCGTGTGAATGGGATGGCTTGTTTGTGGATAAGAACATCCTCTAAGTACCTTTTAGCCTTGACCAAAGGCAACTTCCGAATAGCATGGGCAGTCTCTCTTGTGTTCTTCAAGTAGATAAATAAGAATTGGAATTTTAGGACAAATGAATACGAGCATACAAAATATATAAACGTGAAAGCAAAAGAAGGTCTCGTATCACTTTCAGAAAGAACAAATCATGCTCCTCTGCTTTATGCAAGGAAAACTAAGGCGTGTGACGTGCTATTGCTATATAACACAATGAAACCTAGTGTAACTGTAAGGGGTAGAACCCTCAACTAAGGATTTCGGCTTGACCTGGGTTAACCCACGCGGGTGACCCCCCAGTAGCCTTTACCTCTCTTCGCCAATAGGACCCTTTCCTAAGGCAATCCCACATCGGAAGAAAGTCGTCTCCCCCCCTGCCATATAAGTGAACACTTCCTATGGAGGATAGGAAAAGGGTCCTATTGGCGAAGAGAGGTAAAGGCTACTGGGGGGTCGCCCGCGTGGGTTAACCCAGGTCAAGCCGAAATCCTTAGTAGAGGGTACTACCCCTTACAGAAAGCCTAGTGGGTACCTCCTCCATAGGAAGTGTTCAGTTATATGGCAGGGGGGGAGACGACTCTCTTCCGATGTGAGATTGCCTTAGGAAAGGGTCCTATTGGCGAAGAGAGGTAAAGGCTACTGGGGGGTCGCCCGCGTGGGTTAACCCAGGTCAAGCCGAAATCCTTAGTAGAGAGTTCTACCCCTTACAGTAACCATCATAAAATTCAAAATGACGACGACCAAATAGACTAGTGAAATATGCAATCAATAAATAACAAAAAGGGGCATCTGATCGGTGAAGAACTGTTCTTGACTGCCTCATAGCAAATTCAATGATGTGAAGACATGCCTGACAATTTTAAGAAGTGGAATATTGAGAAAAAAAATTAGCGCAAGTGGCAAGATGTTTATATTAAGATGTCTAACATGAAGCTTGTCTCGTGCTCTCCAAATCCACGAAACAAGTATGGAAGAATCTGTCTTGGCTACTTGGAGAAACCAAACACAATGCTCAAACTAAATCAGAACACTAGCAAGGATGTTATGTCTGGAATGCAGTTGGAATGTGCCATTATTTACTGAACGTTCTGTCAATAAAACACAGAAGTTCACCCAAAAACAATGCAAGTGATTTCCCTGAAGTTTACGAGAGACCCGCTCAGAAAAAGGCAGCGGAACCCTGCTTTTGTCATCAGGTTCAGCAATGAAGCAAACAATTGGTAGTCATAAACTCCACAAAATACTGCAAAGGATTAAATCAAACAACCACTTTCAATTCAATGTCATCATCAACCCTAACCATAGACTAACAAATGCACCAATAAACATCAACAATTCTATTCATAATTCTGCTTAATCTACTCAGATGATCAGGTCTAATACAAAGCCACTCATTATCTCAGAGCTGCATCCAAAACTACAGACGACAAAAAACGCAACAATATATTTTTAACTTCAGAGTTGCAAGATGTTCAACACAAAACTTGTCTCGTGTTTCCCAAATCCTAATTTCCCTACTTCAATTCACATTGTAATGCAGAACTTTTATATTGGCTAGCCAGAGAAACCAAATCCAATGCTCAAATTAGTTCAGGACACTAACAAGGATGTCATAAGAGAATATGTAGCAGAAATTTGTCATTATTTACTGAACCTTATGTCAATAGACCACAAACAGAGTTTCACCCAAAAACAAGGCAAGTGATTTCCCTGAAGTTTACGAGAGACCCACTCATAAAAAAGGCAGCGGGACCCTGCTTTTTTCATCAGGTTCGGCAATGAAGCAGACAATTCATGATCGTAAACTCCACAAAATAGTGCAAAGGATTAAAGTAAACAAAAAATTTCAGTTCAATGACTAACAAACGCAACAATAAACATCAAATGCTATTCATAATTTTGCTTGATCTATTCAGGTCTAATACACATCCACTCATCCTAGTACTTAAAAATACATCTTTTTTATTATCTATCAGTGAGAAATTAAGCATCCAAAGCTGCAGACGATAAAAAATGAAAGATATATTTTTAACTTCAGAAATGCAAGATGTTTTTAGTAAGATGTTAAACGCAAATCTTGTCCCATGTTTTCCTGAATCCTATAATTTTCCTATTTCAATTCACATTGTAATGCAGAGTATCCATCTTGGCTACCTAGAGAAACTAAATCCGATGCTCAAACTAAATCAGGACACTAACAAGGATGTCAAGAGATAATGCAGCAGAAATGTGCCATTATTTACTGAACCTTCTGTCAATAAACCACAAACAGAGGTTCACCCAAAAACAATGTAAGTGATTTTCCTGAAGTTTACGAGAGACCCGCTCACAAAAAGGCAGCAGATCCCTGCTTTTTTCATCAGGTTCATGAATGAAGATGACAACTGATAATCGTAAGTTCCAAAAAATATACTGCACAGCACTAAATCAAACCACTAATGTCACTCAATGTGACTCTAAATCCTACCCATATACTGCCAAGTGAAATTATTAACAACGATCCCTATTCATACTTCTGCTCAAACTGTCCAGGTCAAATACAATTACATTCGTCTTATAACAGAAAACCCATCTTTCCATAATATACGAGTGAGAAAATAAGCAAGCAACACTACCAATGACACAAAAAAACGCAAACCTAGATGATTAACCAAGAAAAACATGTCAAAATTAGCATAAACTTGCCTTAAAATGAACTCTGAGGTCAGAGCCCCTGGCTTTGCAAGCTGAAACACGCCCATCAGAAAATAAAGAAAGAAATCAGATTTCGATATAGTTACCACCTTTTGATTACCGATAAAAACGAAAACCCAAGTACTAACATTTGGTGGGATTTTCGGGCTCCCTCGAGTATTTCACCTGAAATTTTGTAGACAGACACAACAGATCGATCAAAACAAACGACAAAAATAAGTTGAATGTGAGTACATGAATATGAATAATTCACATTTCAGAACGGGCACGAAAGAGAGAGGTTTAGGCAGTGACTTTAACGAGACTAACCATCGCTGAAGCAGCTAGTCTTCTGCTGCTGCTAGAAGAATTTGATACCCAAACGAGGAGAAAATGAAGTTAGGGTTTGCGAATTTAAGAGGCGGAATGAAACGATAGTGCTAGGGTTTACATGTTGCGCTTGGATTGGGCTTTTCTGAAACGTTGTTGAATGAAATTGGGCCTTTGTTTGGGCCCAATAAATT